TGTGTGTGTGTGTGTGTGTGTGTGTGAGCCAATGAGTGGAGAACAAGAGCAGGTCTTCAGGACGGCTGGAGGACACATGGTAAGGAAGAGGAGGACTGTCCTCTGGAGATGACAGGGCAACGTGTGTGTAGAGGGGGTTGCTCAGGAAGTAAGCTATATTACAATACTATATCCAGTTATTTCCCCTGGCTTCATCCTTGTTGACACACAATCCCTAGAGTTCCTTGCAACGCGATGTTGCATATGCCAATTTCAATGATTCGTACTTGATGTCAAACAAAGCCAGCACATCCAGCCAAAGCCTCTTCCGCAAAGACGTACAGATTTCTCAAATGAGGGTTTTAAAACCGATCACTTGTGTGTTGTGAGGCAGAGACTCATTATTTCCTTTCATGGTGTCTTATTGGATGCAAATGCAAATTAACTGCCACTGAATTTCCAGGAACAAGAAGGGACTTTAATGATCTAGTGATGTAGAAACATGGTTAGAAAGGTCCAAACACAAAAAAACATGCAAAGTAATTATTATCCCGGTTTCAATAACTAATGGGTGATGTTCAAGCATGTAACAGAGCTTGTCATTACTGATAAATGTAGAAGTGTTTGTGATCGATTGGTCATATTAGTTATAAGCCTTTTTAAACACTGCTGGCCCCATTTTAGTTGTGAGACTCCGGGGCTGCGTTTGAGTCTGGACGAGCAGAAATACATGTTCCATCTTCATAGAAACGTTCTTTCTTACTACCATTCAAAACAAAGGTGCAAGCTCAGCAAGCCTGGATTTTGAAGGGAATGAGCTCACACGCTGATTGGATTATTGCAGGTTACACAAAAAACAAAGCCACATCTAATTAAGAGACTACTTACATCCCTGTTGAACCATGTGCTTGACACGGTGACTTTTTTCCTGCTGTTAAACAAACTAAAATCATTCGGACTTACTCTGAATGGACTTAACGCCATGTGCTTTTGACCATGCAAAATTAAAATGACAGTAAACCCCAGAAACATACTTTATTTTTACAGAAAGACCAATGGAAGAAATACAAAAGTTTACGCTCAGTTACAGAAGCTACTGGAACCCAGGCTGGCCCAGACGGGACATCATGACCTCAGCTCACTGTCACGTCATCCAGTGCCATTTGTTTGTCATTAATCTATTGAATATTTGATTGCATGTCACGGTCTGGATGAATGAGTGGCAGTATTTAAAGTGACTAGAGGACTTTGAAGTTAAACTGTTACCAACTACTTATAATA